ATTTCACCCTTCTCGTTTTTTGTTCCCGCACGACGAGTAGTTAATGAGAGAGAGAAAAAAGGGCGGACAATGGCAGCAATCCACGTGTATGCCGAAGCCCTGTGCCGTCGCCGTACTGCGTACACACTAAAGTAGTAGTCATTTAGTATGTCTTCACAGGAACCGTGAAATGGAAGGAACTGATCAAATTCCGGTTTTAATTTGGGAAGTTGCAGGTAACGACGATGACATGCTTCTTCTGTGTCTGTCTGTCACACCCGGCACAGTGGTGTTATGTAATTGTGCTGATGCCGTGCAGGAAATGACAATTCGAATTCTAGTTCTCTCCCTTTGCATTGAATTCACCATCGGACACCATCACCACCGTCGAATTCATTCGTTCACTCGTTCATATCACTTACCTACAAACTTAACTACGACCAATAAATACATTGTGTAGTATTATGAGTTTGCAATGGCGGGACCTCGAAACCCGGCGTTCGGGCTGTTATTTCTCGTGACCGCCTTCCTTTCCTCGCCAACAGTTGCACTCGCTTCAACCAACAATGGCAATAACAACATTCATCATCTGGCAAACCCGGCCGTCAACCTCGACGCCACCATCACCGCTGCACCGGATCCAAATCTTGTCAACTTGAGACTTCAGCCTCGTCAAGCCGGTTCGTCTGCTCCAGAAGGTCGAGATGCTTGTTCTGCTCTTTATTCCGTCTACAGTTGGTGTTCAACGTCCGGCTACACAAATCTGGGCGGTGCCTCGGCTCTTGCATCCTGTGCCTGTTATTACAACAAAGAATATGTCCCTCGCATCTTTGACGGACTCGCAACGTCATGTTACGACTACATCCGGTCAGTCCGGCCAGAAGCTACCGCCGGAGTAGCGCAATACCTCAACATCTGCTATCTCGCCGGCGACGTGAGTAAATCTGCGACAATCGGTTCACTCGCATGCAATAGTCTAGCCGTGGCACTAAATTCATGCGCCACACGCACTCCTCAATCGTCAGACTACGTTTTTTCCGGCAGCAGTTCTCTCGCCGGTTGCGCGTGTTACGACTCTCGTACCAAATTCGCGCCGGATAAGTTTGATCATCTTGCTTCGGCTTGTTATACTTATGCTCAAAACCTTGCGGGTCAAGGCGGTCAAATTTCTACCCTTGTCGACTTTTGCAATACGGTCGGCGACGTGCGACAGTCGGCTTCAAAGGCTTTGCAACAATGCGAAGTATTCGAGGATCAATACGGTGCCTGTAAATCCGCTTATACTGGAGATTTCGGTGCATTGCCGCCTAGTTTTCAAGCCAGTTGTCTATGCTATGGCCCAAGGGCGACGTGGGTCCCCGGAGCTATCGACGGAGCGGTCAGAACCTGTGTTGGCTATCTTTCAACCGCGGATCCAGCGAGAGCAAGGTCATTCGCAGCCTATGGAGGTGGTTTCTGCGAGGGATTTGGGAACTTGCGAAGTTCAACTTCGACGAGTGCTGTATGTCCATTCATCTGTCTATTTCTTTTTCAAACCTTCAATTGCTAACACACTCATAGGAACCCGAAAGCACAACCACTTTACCCCAGTCAACAATCACGACAACCAGGAGTTCAGCAACTGAAGCCACTTCTTCTGTTGCCCCAAGCCGAACTCGGTCGACCGAGACGAGTGAGACAAGTGGTAGTGAGACGAGCCTACCTATTCCGACTGGTACAGGTATCGGTCCCAATGCAGGCCAACAACTTGTAAGTAAAATCTCGAACCAATTCTACCCACTATTAGTTCATGCTAACATCATAAAATTAGTCCATCCCAAGTCTTCAAATGATCACAGCTCTCCTGTTATCCATCATTACCTTCCTCGCAATGGGACTATAAACCCCACACCACAAACACCAAGAAATACCCACCTGCTCGACGCAGGTTACTATTATATTGGAAAGGACATAGCATCATCCTAATACCCCCCTAAACACGGCACTCTCCCTAGATCGGAATTGCCGCATGCTTCAACATTGTAGAGACCATCAGCCAGAGGCGACTGGTACTCCATTGGAGCCCATTTTACTTCTTTCTTCTCATACCCCTTTTAATGTAAATACTTTTTTTCTTCTCTTCTATGATACCACTATAGACTTTTTTATGACGAATGATATCTTTTCGTCCAAGATGCTTACCAAGATTACCTTTTTCCCCACTTTTATATTCTCTATTTAGTGAAGTCTAGTCAGTCTCGTAGCCGACGCCTATTGACGGCTCAAAAGTTGTTGTTTGTTGAAACGATGGATAGTATTTCATACTGACGTCATTTCCCAACCTTTCGGAAAGCGTTATCATGACCCCCTTCGAATTCGTACCACGGTAGTATTATCGTGATTCCCCCCTCCCCTTTATCAGACAACTGAATCAATAAGAATACGGGGCAAAAGAGAAGTCATCAAGTATACTAAAGATACCACTTTGAATCCACAAAGATTTTCCATCAATTTATTCGTTTATTGAGCTATCAAGGGATATTGTTCTAATAAGAAAAACGTTTCTCCATGACACTTTCCAAAATGAAATAGCGATGACGAAAAAAAAAAAAAGGGATACTAAAAAGACCTCTCATGAAATCCGACCAGCCATGAGAGATCTTAAAGATGCGAAGACGCATCGTGGAAAACAGTCAAAACAGAATGAACGAATTCCCACGCATGGAAATTATCACTGCGAAAGAAACCTATCACTAGTAGCTTCCTAAAGAACAAAAGGGAAGAAAGAAAAAATGATGACAAGGAAAATCCCCATGTTCTTCCAACTTCCTCCACAACATGGTTCTTAATCCAAACCCCCCTCACTCCTCAACCCATTATCCGGTGGTCCATAAGGCACTGGATGGTCGACGTATGTGTGCAGGTGGGATGGTGGCTTTACGGCAAAGCCTCATAGCTATGCGTATAATTCTGACGATTCGAGAAGAGGTAGTAGATGATCAACCCAAGGATCGGGAAGAAGAAGACAAATAGTCCCCACAGGATCTTATGCGAAACCGGGCGAGAGGATTTGAACAGTTCGACTATGATGAGAAAGAATCTATTAGCATCACACACCAATACACCGTCGTAGCATATGGGTGAGTAGTGGGTATGAAAACTTACTGAAGACCAAGACATCCAAGATGAAGATGACGAGACCGACGATACCACCGCCAGCACCGTAACCCCAGGCATTCTCCTGGATAGTAACTATCTCATCGCTGACTGGAGCAGCAAGGGCGAGGGAAGAGAGCAGAGCGGTAAGGATGAAGAACAACATCGTGTCTTCTTTTCACTTTCGTATTCGATATTAACGATTACCGTAGTTCGAGGATTAAAAGGTTATAGTAATGTCTAGAAAGAAGACAAAAAGATTAAAATGACGATTGGCGATGAGAAGATATGAGGGGAAGAGAAGGGGAAAAAAAGAAGAAGTGGCCGAAAGGGAAAAACAAGAAAGAAAGTTAATTACGTTCTTATACTTTCCAGAAAACGGCCTCGTAAGCACAACTAACCTCAGGAAATTTAAATAATATGCTTAGGGATCAAAGATCGATCGGATCCTGTTATTACTGGCAATGTGGGAATTGTTACACCATCGAGAACGAGGGATGAGAAATGTATCTTTCCCGCAAAGGCTCCTAGTAAAGCTACTCTGTTCAACCAAGAACGGGTGCTAAAGTAATGACGTAACTAACTTAGCAACAGTCATGCGACTGGCCTGAAATGGTATTTTGGTGTTGTGTTGCAAATCGGGCGTCTCCGCTGCCGATGAGCAGCAGGATGAGATTAGATTAGATTAGATTAGATTAGACTGCATTGGCAAAATCTAATCAGATAAGATTGACAAGTAAATGACATCTTGGCACAGAAAGTCGGCTGTGAGTTTATGGCAGTAAGGATCCCCTTTTCCAACCCACCAAAAACCCTCCCGTTTTCGCGATTTTCCCAACTTTTCCCAACAGTGCGCGCGCAACTCTAAACGGACGGCCGGACGGGAATTCACGCCAGACCAGCTTTTTTCCCCAGGACCATTACTACTATTACCCATCAGCTAGCTATTACCGTCGGACTACACAAAAGGTCGCCACTATTACCGGTACACCGCGTAAAACCAGACAGCCCCACCAAAGGCGACCAACGACACGAAAGGAGGAAGAAGAGGAAGAAGAAGAAGACACGAATCTCATATGGCTGGACGGTCGAGCACATCATCATCACACCCCTCACGACGGACATCAAGTCCAACGGACGGCATCAACAGCCCGACAAAGTCGAGCAGGGACAGCCTAAGGAAAGAAATCGAAGGCATCGAAGCCGAGGCTTCAAAGCTACGTGCGGAACTCGCGAGTCTACGGCAGGAACGGAAGATTCTGGCAACAGTGGTACAAAGCTGGGGGAAAGGCATGTCGGTTTTATAAAAAAGATATCATTATATATACAGATTTCATACCCTTGAGGGTTTGGAAACTACGAAGAGATGGGGAAGGCAGCTAGCTAGTTAGCTATCAGAGCAAGAGGCAAGAAGAGGAGGAGGGGGATTTCGGTAGCAGTCAGAATAGGCAACTGCACATTCCAGCCTTTGCGGGAAACCTTTTTTTTGTTACCCTGGTTCGAAGTGGTTCTCGCATTATAAGATACCCCAGGGGCGTCGCCGTTTCGGTTTTATTTTTATTTTTTGTCGTTCCACTGCTTTGTGAAGGCTCCGTTTGAGACGGCGGTACTATCGTCAAAGTAGTGGGGAAGCATGGCCTTTACTTTTTGTCGAAATACATATATCTCTATGACTTTTAATGCAAAATAACTTCTGATTATTCACATATACCGACCTGGAACAAAATCAGACGAGACCTTGGAGGTCGCAACCTTAGCGATTGGAGAAGGCCAAGTTGGCCCCCGTTTGTTTGAGAGTCGTCGAACCGTACGTCTTCTACATATGTGTGTGTTGCCGGTGCAACCAAAAATATGGTACTAATAATTCAAAAAAAAGTCAAAAAGAAAGGAGCGACCGTGGATTGAACACGGGACCTTGAGATATTGGCCTGATGACTGCAATCTCCTGCTGCACAGATTGTTAGTTGAATGTTTGATTGAGAGAATAATCCAATTCGGAATTTAACCGTACCTCTACCGCTGAGCTACCACTCCGACCACTGAGCTATATCGCCCGGATGTTTGTTTCACTCGAATCTGTAGCTTATGAGGCACACTACAAAATGGACACGACAACGGGCCAGGAAGAAGGATAGCTCCCTTCTACGATGATATGAACCTTTCGTCTTAAGAGTATATGAACCTCATAATGAGATTGCTGGGAGACAGGATGACAGCTTAGCTAATATCGTTGCTTATGGGTCTCAGATGTTTCTCAGCAATTGCCTTGGCAGGATGTCGTGTGGAGAGCGCCCTTCAATATTATAATCTCCACCGAATGCCTGCCTGACCTACTCAAGCTGCAGCACTACTTACCCAGGTACTTACCATCAATACTATTCGTCACTATAAGCCAAAACTCATCGCTGTAGCGACCTGAATTAAGTAATTTCTTCTCTCTGTACCTTTTAGATAAGACTCCGATAAATGTAAGCTGACGCTCAACAAGACGCTCAAGAATTCAGCTCGTCGCAATCGCTCAGCTCAGTAACAAATTTCAGGTTTTGAACACTCCTCAGCGGACAAGCATCTACTCACTTTGTGACCTGCACCTACATACATATCCTTGCAGCCATCACCGAACCACTCAACGAAACTCCCCAGCCTCCAGCGAAGATCAGAGCCTTTTAATCTCGAGAATCCGGGCTAAGAACTTTTATTCATCCTCTCGACGCCTTGTGATTCAAAATAACCATCTCTTCTGTTACGTCGGCATTTGACTCTCCAACTTGCCATTACAATCAAAACTGTATGTATATATCGGAGAATTACGGCCTGGTCGAGGTATAATCCCAGCCTTGTCCCGTCCATCACAAGCAAACCCTTTCGATCTCTTGGTGCCCAGACCGTCCGAACGTGTCTTTTCGATTGGCGAAAAAGGCGGGGATCAAGGGCGTCACTAGTGCAGGGAAACTAGCCAACCAAAGGCAGGAGAATGCGGGAACATCCATACATCCCTTGTCTCCTCCCTTCCGTCCCCCCCGAAAATTAAGGCGGCTGGTGGTTGTTTGAGATCTTTTTTGGGGGGGATGGAGAGATCGCAGACGGAGAAAAAGTGGGGACTTGAGCTGATGATTGTGTCGCTTTTCATTCCAGGGCAAGGAAAATACGCTTTAAAGGGCTTGAGCCCGATTAAGGTCCTCCAGTTTCTTGAACTAAAAGTCTCGGAACTTATCCCGAGAGAAGTTCTTAATCCAGGAGTTTGTTTTTAACTAGTACACCCAGAAGACGTCGGCTCGAATCCAACATCTCAAGGTAGCGGTTTGTGTAGCGTAGCGCAAGTCTTAAGGAAGACGACCGAGAAACAAAGATGGAGTCCATCGAGCGTGTCGCAATGGTCGAGACGCCTGTCGACAAGGGCGCACAAGTCGAAGCGACAGGGCAGGAACCTCCTATCGAACCACCTACGGAACCAGCGCCTTCAGAGAAGCCGCAAAGACCGTCGTCAATCTCCACCTGCGATTCTGGCCTCCACGGAGAAGTCGATTTCACAAAACAGCGAAGACTCGTTTTATGTTTCGACGGAACAGGTATGTGGAACTGCGAATCTTAACTGGCGGCATAATCGAGATCTGACACCCGCCGGTGCCTTTTAGGGAACAAGTTTCATGGAGACGATACTGTACGTTCCAATATACTAGCGAACCCAGATCCATGTTTCGGACGCAAAAAAAGATACCATGGATCTCATCCTGAATACGAGGTGGAAGTACCGATGCTGACGGATCCATAATTCGGCGACAGGATTCCAATATCGTCAAAATATACGAGCTCCTAGACAGGCGGTCGGACCTTCAGTTCCATTATTATCAGCGTATGTCCTCCCTCGAAAGCTGTTCTTCACGTACCCGTGAACCCAACCCAACCCCGCCAACACACGACCACCAACACTTCTCTTTGTTGCATCTTCGTATAAGCTATAACTAACGAGTTTATCACTATTAGCTGGAATCGGAACATACGTTCAGAATGAGGGAACAACTTTCATCGGCCGTATCGGCGACAAGTTCAAAACCGTGCTCGACCAGGCAGTCGGCACAAGCTTCAAAGCCCACGTTATTGGCGGATACTCCTTCATCATGAAGTACTACAATCCCGGAGACTGTATCTACATCTTCGGCTTCTCCCGTGGTGCATACACCGCTCGTTTCCTCTCGGAGATGTTGGCGGGCGTCGGTCTCCTATCCCGGGGTAACGAGGAGATGATCGAGTTTGGCTGGAAGACTTTCAGTGCCTTTCAAACGTCGAGACATGATGGTGGTGAGAAGGACATGAAGAGACGTACATTCATGCGGAAATTCAAGAAGACGTTCTCTCGTAGTGGAGTTAATGTAAGTTGTCCCGTGTTCAAGCTGCATTTTCGATATATTAGCGGATGCGGTTCTCGCAACCGCTACAGTACTGCATCTTCTGCATTTCCCTAGGGTTGCATCGCGTTAAAACCTGCTGTGTTTGCTATATTAGGTCCATTTCCTCGGTTTATTCGACTGCGTCAACTCCGTCGGGCAGTTGGAACCACCTTTCTGGCGAAAATCCTATAGTTATATGCCAATGGGGTCTTCGGCAACTCACATTCGGCATGCAGTCAGTGTGCATGAACGTCGACTAAAGTTCAAGCCAGCTCTGTACAAGGGGTTTATCGAACATCCTGATCTCAAAGAGGTCTACTTTTGCGGTAACCACGGCGATGTCGGAGGCGGGTGGGGTAAAACACCTGAACAAAAGCGTGCTTTGAGTGATATCCCGCTAGCGTGGATGTTGGAGGAGGTCCGAAACTTACCAGACACGGAAAATAAGCTTGAGTTTACCCAGCCCGAGGAGTACCTTTTGGAACAAACTGCACATGAGGCGGAGCGGCAATTCGAAGAACACCTTCGAGACCTTGGGCAAGGAAAGATTGATGATGTGAGAGGGATGCGACCTCATGACCCCCTTAGTTTTGGCGGAGGGAATAAGTGGTACGGTGTACTTGGTTGGTGGATTCTGGGTGAGTTTATCCCCCCTTCCTCATCTTTTCGAACGAGAAAAGATCCCGTTTCCCACCCCCCTTCATCTACTTGCATATGATGATAAAAGGGGAGAATGGCTTATAGCAGTTGCTGACGTGGTCATATAAAATTGCATGGATGGCTTTGTAGAGGTTATGCCGTTCATCTCCAGACTTGAGTACGAGAAGGGCAAGTGGGTGCCTCGTTATTGGCCACCGAACTTCGGAACACCTAGAGATATTCCTGCAGACGCAGATATCCACCCATCCCTTGTAGCGTTGCATGAAGGGGGTGTTCTGGATGAGTCTGAGGTTCCGAAGCTACTCGCCAACCGGGACCACTATACCTTCAAGGTCGAGGGCGGTGCCCGTCCAGAGAAAAAGAAGCCTCCCAAGGCGACGGAGGAACCCGCTAAGGAGAAGGAGAAGGAGAAGGAGAAAAAGTAAAGGTGCGTCATTAAAGAAGAGGGGGGCAAATAGGATCTTCCTTGAAAACTGGGCAATAGGAGCTAGAGGTTGAAGCAATCGTCTGCACAATTGCCCCGAACTTCATCAAGGACATGGCGTGTTATAGACTCTTGAGGGGGAGAGGGATAGGCCGGGTGGGTATCTTCTAACCCGTTGGCCAATTGCCAAGTAGGATTCCCGTTATACGTTATGATGCGGCTGATACTTGGGAATCCGGGAAGTATTTCGAGATTTCATGTTGAAAGCACACGGTGGAACAGCTCGTATATGATGCGACCAGGTTAAAGCACATCCTAATATTGCACTCTTCTATTCGTGCCATCCCGCCTAGGTCCGTCTTTTTTCTTGTTTCATAATTCTTTGTATGCATGTACATTTTTTTTTTTGGCCGCTGGGGGAAGTGATGAAGCTATAGCTACACTCCAAACCCCTGTCTAATACGCTGATGTTATTCCAGCAGTCATAGCAAATTATTAATTCCATAAAGATAGTTGAGAGGATTCCCAAAACTGCAGCTGCAGGTCCACTTTCCAAATATCCACCCTCTTGTTAGGGATTCTCTGAATCTTTTTGTTCCCCGCCTAAGTAAGATATATCCAACCGAACCCTTTTAGTTTTTTGAAGCCATTCCAAGCTTTTTCAAGACTCAGATCCTTAAGCAAGATGCATGTTTCCACTTTTAGGTTGGTGCCTTGCCTATATGGTGTGTGCAAATGCAGTCAGAGGCTCTGTTTCTTTTTGTAAGCAAATGCCTGTCAAGTTCGATAACAGCGGCTTATTAAAGCCAAGACTCTGTGTTCTTTTATACACGCCAACACAAATTCGAACGGGTATTTTTTGCTTGCGCTTGGTCAGGTCAGAATAACGTTATAGGGTTACAGGGAACTCGCGTTATGCCTTGTAGAAAGTATTTTGGATCGCAAGTACTACTCATATTTCCGTCGGTGGATTGCTAAGCAGAAGATGGCTTTGGAAACAAAAAGAGAAGGGAGCTCGAGATGTGATGTTTTTTTTCTGGATGTAGACGTCTTCGCGCGTTCAATTGGAGTTTATCGATGGAAGGTCATTTGTTCTGGAAGCAAGCGGCATCCACTTGTGCAAGGGAGCGCCGCATACATATGCAAGTTCGACCGGAAGAGGCGAAAAGACCCCCTCATCGAAAGAGTGTGGCAGAAAAATAAACGAACCGAACAAAGTGCGACCGACGGTCTGCCTTTTGCCCCGAGCCTACCAGAGGAAAGTTGAAAGCCACTATGCTGAATATGATACGGCCACCAACATATGTTTCAACGTAGGCAACACCAACAAAGCCCGGCCTATAAGCCTCGTCATCGCCCAGTCTCGTCACCAGAATCTGGACATCGCCAGCATTGACGAATCGCAAGGTGGATTCAAAGGGATGTTCCAGCTTATCCTCACACAAACGTCTTGATGTTTCATAAACCTTCAACATCAAGAAAAAAAAAAAAAATAAGAGTTTTGTTTTATCCCGGTGGGGACGGAGACTCCGCGGTCCCCGCGAGAGTCCGTTTCGCTGATC